ACAACCAATTGAATCGTGGAATATCAAGTACCACACAGTCAATATAGTAAATGAAATTGCAAAACATGAATTTCTCGTCACTCATGAGTTTTTTTATAATTGAAATTTGATTTGTTGAACCAATGCTGAAACACCAGAAATATGGCAAGTTATTTGAAAACCCTAATAATGAAAATAAAACTTCTGTACAAGGCCGGCAGTTTTGGTGACAGAGAAATTTGTGAATTATACAAAGACCTCAAGTGTCTAAATGCCCTAAATTATTTATTTTACTACTATAATAATGGCTAATCATGTCTTCAGACTCATGCAGAGAAAATAAATGCCTACCAACCTTAATTTTCATGAAAATACTTTGCAGACATTGCTCTTTGTCTGTATAAACCAGTGTGGCCATCTCTTGTGCTTGTCTAAAATAATGAATGGAATACTAGAAGCACCAGCTTAGAACATCGAATAGCCCTGACAGTCGCATGCATATATGTCAAGTAGATGGTGGAAGAATAACTGTAAGAACCAGTTCGAATTGACGGCATCAGAAATAGTGACAGATCAATGGATGATTGACCTATGGGAATCACTACAAGAAATATGTCAACTTGTGACCTTCTGTCAGTGACCCCGGAAGAATTGGTCATAGATCTATGACCATTTCAGACCAATTGGCAAAAGCTGTTGGGGGCTCCAAACCCTAAACCATTGCGACCATTTTGGTCAGAAAGGTCGTAATTTCCTTACACGAAATGGTCATAAAGCAAACAGCGCTAGTCCGCTGCCTTATTTCTAGTTGTTAACGACCAATATAGATGGTCATAGCCTTGTAAATTGTGGTGGGTTGCTATGACTAGGCGCCACCTCATCAGTTTTGCCTATGTGTCATGTCCATGTGGCAGTTTTTGCCCTAGGTTGTGAAGCAACCTATAATTCTGTCATTCCCAAAATTCCCAAAAAAATCTCATAAATTCTTTGGGTCATATCTTTGTCAAATATGTAAAAACCTTCCTTGCCTAGTTTAAAACTAATTCAAAAATATTTATTTTCCTATTCTGTCAGAGTAACAGTTTGTGAAGGAAGTACCACTTTGGCATGTCCAAATAGCATCCATTTTCTACAGTGCTTTCCTATGCCCAAATAACCATCCTCCACCAAATGCCAGCTCAATCCATTCATTATTTTGAGCCGAGCTTCAACATTCGTATTTATGTCCAGTGTGGTGGTTTGCAAAGCAAGTACCACCTAGGCCCTCCTTTTGAGCTGAAAATTTGTGAAGACGGTCTTCTTAGTAACTAATCATCCTCAGCCAAAACTCACGCCCATTAGCCATGTACATTTCCCGTACCGCTAATCAAACACTTGGCTGCTAATTCATGTTTGAGCATCGATCGGTCTCCTCGTGAGAATCTTATGTTGTAATTTTCTTCCTAGCACCAACCTAGGGACTGCCCAACCCACTAGACATGCCTAGGCCACCCAGAACACATGGCAACGCCACAGTCACGAGGTGATCATGCGGCAGGCATGCGAGTTTACGCGCTCTAGAGTTGGGGCCCTCGGCCACAACCCAAACCTCGACGTATCGCCACCAAACCATGTATTTATGATTAAATAGGTCCTTGTGTAACTAGAAATGATTTTTGGAAAAAATAAATGGCAAACTATGAGGCAGCTGCAGTTCAAATTTGACCCGCTTCCAGCTAAATCGACAGAAATTTGTCTTTTTCACGAGATGTGGATCAAAAATTTTTACACCCAACCATTTTGTCAATTGTGCATTAAATATGTCCTAGTATTTTATAAAAATGATTTGGTCCAATTTTGCAATAATTATTTGGTAGTTCCTTCACAAAAAAACCTCCTTTCGGGCACTCGAAAAATGGAAAATGGTTTTTTCGTCCAACGAAAATGAAAACTTCCTTAGGCAACATTGTTTGTCATTCCAATATGCACCCTTGTGCACAATATGAGATCATTTGAACAAACTATGCCATGAATGTGGCCATAAAATTGATCATTTGGCTTGAAAGCCATGAATCTTTAGAGATGATAGCTCATTTCTGAGAATACTTTTTTAAAATAATTGCTGTATTACAAGTTTGTTATTTTTCCTGGGAACTTGGCCACATATAATGACACAATGCAAAGGTTTCTCAATTTTTTGATTTTTTTTGAATTTTTTATGCCCGTTTCAAAATGCGGTCAAAACGGCGGGAATGACCGTTCCTAGCTAGTGGTTGAATCTTGGAATTTTTTTGGTGTTTCTATAATTAAATAGATACTTATGTACCTAGAAATGATTTTTGGAAAAAATAAATAGCAAACTACAAGGCAGTTACAGTACAAATTTGACCCGCTTCCAACTAAATCGGCAGAAATTTGTCTTTTTCACGAGAGGTGGATCAAAACTTTTTGCACCCAACCGTTTGGTCAACTGTGCATTAAATATGTCCTAGTATTTTAGAAAAATGATTTGGTCCAATTTTGCAACAATTATTTGGGAGGTCCTTCACAAAAAAACCTCCTTTTGGGCACTCGAAAAATGAAAAATGGTTTTTTCATCCAAAGAAAATGAAAACTCCCTTAGGCAACATTGTTTGCCATTCCAAGATGCACCCTTGTGCATAATATGAGATCATTTGAACAAACTATGCCATGAATGTGGCCATAAGATTGATCATTTGGCTTGAAAGCCATTGATCTCCATACGTGATAGCTCGTTTCTGAGAACACTTTTTAAAAATAATTGGCTTATTACTAGTTTATTATTTTTCATGGAAACTTGGTCACATATGATGACACAATGCGAAGGTTTTCCAATTTTTTGATTTTCTTTTGAATTTTTTATGCCCATTTCAAAATGCGGTCAAAACGGCGGGCTTGACATTTCCTAGCTAGTGGTTAAATCTTGGAAAAAATTTCGTGTTTCTCTGATTAAATAGATACTTTTGTACCGAAAAATGATTTTTGAGAAAAATAAAGAGCAAACTACGCGGTAGCTACAGTTCAAATTTGACCCGCTTCCAACTGAATAAGCGGAAATTTGTCTTTTTCACGAGAGGTGTATCAAAACGTTTACACCCAACCATTTTGGTCAATTGTGCATTAAATATGTCCTAGTATTTTAGAAAAAAATTTTGGTACAATTTTGCAACAAATATATTGTAGGTCCTTCACAAAAAAACTCATTTTGGGCACTCAAAAATGGAAAATGAATTTTTCGTCCAAAGAAAATGAAAACTTCCTTAGGCAACATTGTCTGCCATTCCAAGATGCATCCTTGTGCATAATATGAGATCATTTGAACAAACTATGTCATGAATGTGGCCATAAGATTGATCATTTGGCTTGAAAGCCATGAATCTTCACACTTGATAACTCGTTTCTGAGAACATTTTTTAAAACTAATTGTCGTATTACAAGTTTATAATTTTTTTTGGTAACTCGTCCACATAAAACGAAACTATGCGAAGGTTTTCCAATTTTTTGATTTTATTTTATTTTTTTATGCCCGTTTCAAAATGCGGTCAAAACGGCGAGAATAACTGTTCCTAGTTAGTGGTTGAATCTTGGAATTTTTTTGGTGTTTCTCTGATTAAATAGATAATTATGTACCTAGAAATAATTTTTGGAAAAAATAAAGAGCAAACTCCGAGGTAGCTACTGTTCAAATTTGACCCGCTTCCAGCTGAATCGGCGAAAATTTGTCTTTTTCACGAGAGGTAGATCAAAACTTTTTACACCCAACCATTTGGTTAATTGTGCATTAAATATGTTCTAGTATTTTAGAAAATTATTTTGGTACAAATTTGTAATAAATATATGATAGGTCCTTCACAAAAAGAACTTATTTTGGACACACGATAAATGAAAAAATGAATTAAGAAAAGTCATTTCTCATAACTCTTTATAAAAATATTTGTCTTATTTCAATTTGTGATTATTCTTGAAAACTAAATTCAAATTTGCTGACACAATGCGAAGTTTTTTTTCCAACTTTTCAGGTCATGATAAAATAGCTAACATGATTTAGCACCTTACTTTTAGTCGATTACGACCAATTTAAATGGTCAAAATATCATACCTGTATACTGCGTTTTGATTGGTCCAAAGGCCTCTCACGCGGATCGTGGATAATCACCGTCGGATGCTCCTGATCCAACGGCCGGCATGTCGCCCGTCTCACCCATGTCCCGCACTCCTCCTCTCGCACCCTTCTCTCCCTCGCACTAACGCCCCTCTCTCCTCTCCCTCACTCCGATCTGATCTGAATCCACCGCCGCCCACCGTCGCCCACCCCCACCGCCGCCCACTGTCCCACCCCTACCGCCGCCCACTGTCCCACCCCCTCCGCCGCCCACCCCCACCGTCGACGACCCTCACCATCGAGCCCACG